CCGACTAGCTTTGCCTTCTTTGCTTTGAACCTCTTCACATAGTCATGAAGTGACTCCTTAACATTGAACAAATAATATAACTTTTTCTTGATTGAGCGATATGATTAATATTCTTTGGTGAAAATCAAAGAAAATTCGTCAAAACTCCGGATAGATTGTGGCGGCAGGGTGTAGAACCAATCTTGTGCAGTGCCTTGTAGAGTGGTGGTGAATATCTTGCACATAAGATTGTTGTTGTTTTGATAGAGGATCATTGCGCTTCGGTAGTGCTTCAAGTGTTTCTCTGGGTCTCCATCTCTTTTGAATGATGTGGAATGTGGCATGCTAAACTTGCGTAGAGGCTTTACCTGCTCGATCTCATCCGTGAAGGATGACCAACTTATGTTGGTCATGTCTCGTCGCAGTGCCTTGTTAGTGACCTTGTTGCGTTGGAAATCATGCAATCGCTCGGTCAAGAATCTCTCTACTTCTTCCTAAATTTACCTTTGTTGGGGGTAACGGAGCTCTCGGTTGCCTCCGATCAAGACCTACTGGTCTATGCTGCTCTTCTATGTGCTCGGCTCGTCTATGTCGCGGTTGCGGTACATGTGGTTCATTCCTAGGAGGCAAGGGAATTCTTAGCAGGCTGCTAGTTGAACTTGAGCCGGATTGAGTAACTGCTTCTTTCCGTCCTTCGTGCTGCCTACTCCGACTTGAGGTAGAAGATGTTTTTTGCGGGCCTAGCCGCGAATGAGCGCTTCAATTGGAAGGCTGCTCATCTTGATTATCAGAGTGTGGCCCCAACTGTGAGTGTATGCTCGTCCGTGGGCCTCGTCGAGAATGCACACTCCTTCGCGTGCTAAGACGCATTATACACTATCTCGAGGGCTCAATCGAGAATGTACACTGCCCAAACGGTTGGTTCATAGCTGGTCGAGTGGTTGCTTGCTGGGACGATGTTGGAGAGGTTCTTCGTCTACCCTTGTCCTACTTCGGAACACCTCATCTGGGGTACGTTGCATATTGGTGTGCTGCAAGAGTTGGTTCAACAAGGTCATCTGCTGTGCAAGAGCGCTCGTCAACTCTATGACTTGTCGAGACAAGTATTGTTCTCCATTTGGGTTGAAAGAGCTTGGAAGGAATGCGTCTCCTTGAGCAGTGGAAGAGTGGTAGACTCTGGGCAGGAGATTTGAGTTGGGAAATGTCAAATCTATGGATAAATATGGTGAAAATGCCCCCGGTTCGATCGCAGGCTGAGCCACTAAAGTGGGTTGCTCGGTGTGTGGCACATGCAGGTGCGAGGTTTGGGCTCGGCTTGGCAATGCATTAGGTTCGTGTTGGGTTTGGGCGGCACGGGCCAAGTCGACTAGGGCTTGGGCCCTGAAGGTTAAGGTGGCACGGCTTGGGCCGTGGTTGTGGCGCTATGAGCCTTGTCATGGGTGGTTACCATGGTGGTTGCCAACGTGGTGCTTCGTGGGGATGCCGCTCCACTCATCGCTATGTTAAGCCTTGTAGATTGTTGCGATCCTACTCTTTGAACGTTGAAATTTCCGTTCGTAAAAGTTTCCAAATCTCTTATTATTGTACTTTTCTTTTACGTTTTATCAAAGGATTTTTAGAAATAAAAATTCTTAAGACAAGAACGTACGAAAAATCTACAAATAAGCAAGGAAACGAAAAACCTTAGATGTGAGAGTCTTCTACGAGTGTGTGACTCTGCTCTCAATGAAAGCACCAATTTGTAGATGCAAATTTCTTCCTCCTTGATCTTGGACAAAATTGCACCTACAAAACAAATAACACCTTAGGTCAAGGCCAAGATCCTCACGCGCCCATGATGAATGGGGGGGGCTTTGGCCGAAGAACCTCCGATGCCAAAGTTAGAAATTTGAGGGAAAAGTGTTTGGAGAATTTAGAGAATTTGGTAAGTGAATTGGAATTGAGTTTTGGAGAGAATGTTGGGGTTTAATATAGGGGTGTGGCCGGCCCCCTTGGGAGAGAAAGGACCGGCCACTTGGATGGTTTTGTGGATTAGGTTCTTGATTTGTGGTTAAGTAGCTAATTAATGGAACAATTAATTAATTAATTAGCTAATTGATATAATAAAAGAGGAATGATTTAGAGGTTACCTTGAGGAGAAGATATGATAAAGGATGGATGAAATAGGTTATAAATAAATACCTATTTGGACACTTTTGACTTGATTGAAGGCTAATTGTCCACTGCTCGCGAGTAGGGATTCTGGTGTGCCTCGAGGGTAATTTTGTTATTTTCACCTAAAAATCCACGTGTCACCTCTTGATTATTTTTGGCTCCACATTATGTATCAGACTGGGACGAAAAAAACTTGATGTATGAAATGTTAAAAACTAATAAACTTCAAGGTAGTAAACTGAGATTAACCATTTCTTCTATGTACCAAAAAATGTGAGGTTTTTTTTTTTTTTTTTTTTTTTTTAGGGGTTTGAGAAAAGATCGATGGATTCATTGCCAACAGAATGGATAGACACAACCAAAAGCAATTACAACAAAGCTTCGATAATATGCCCAACGATTGACAAATTGATAGAAGAGTTGTGAAGTGCAGCAACAAGCTGGAGTTTTTAACCTGAAAAAATAGGAACGAGGGATTAGATGATGCTGATCCAAATCGACAAAAAGTTTTTGCTCAATTGAAATGTGTATTTCAATGAGTTCTAACATAAAATCATTTAGTTATTAGTAGAGTAAGTAACGATTTTTAAGCACTGCAAGGCTTTCATCTTCAATGTGCAAAACTCTCAACACTCCTTCACTTGTGAAGTCTACTAAATTTTAACACATGTTAACATTTTATTATGTAATATGGGAGCATGTAATTCTTAAGTACAACAGATGGATAACCGTCACTATTTATTTTGTAACATGAAAGTACGTGGTTGTTCACTTGTTCCACCATTATATAATAATATATATACCAAACACTAAAATAATGAAAACCCAAACTTGGCTAACTCTATTGGATTGGATTTCCAAATCAAATGGATTTCGACCATAGTTGTGAAGTTAAAATTCGATTATAATTAGACCGGATGAAACATACACTAAATGGAATTCAATTCCTATGGAAGACCTTATCACTTCCTAACTAGTTAGTTGCTTAAATTGTTATGCTGATAAATCAAGGGATCAAAACGTGGAAGAAAGAACAAAATTAGGAGTACCGGTACTAGCAGCAGTCAAATCTCACCCACTACGGCGTGGAGCGCTCCGTCCAATACGAATGTCTATTCCCACTTCTGTTCGAGATCAAGATATCTTATATGAATTTAAGTTAATCAGCTAGATCAATAGTCGCACTCATTTTAAACTGATCTAATTCGATTGTTTTCGATGCCATATGTTGACAATGGAACGTAAGATTGCGTTGAAGCTTACGTTTTTTGTTCAACTAATACCAAGTTGACAAATAATTGGACTTAATCAACAAGATGTGCATATGTCGCCACTCAAACATTTTGATAAATTCAACACACACACACACGTATAAATAAAGCAATCCCCGATTTGTTTCATAATGTATGATTTATTCAGCTTAATTATGCAGGGGAACACTCCAAGTAATCCAAAATTTATGGGACACCGAACAACGCACAAAGATCTTGTTTGGCAGTTTGGACTGTAGATAGGATAATCTATCGTTAGATAATATTGACTATTTAGTCACGCGTGTTGACTATTTAGTCAGGAGTTTGGTGCAAAATCGGATTAAATACCGATTTTTTTATAAAAAATAAAAATAAAAATATTATCTATACTTTTTAAGAGTATAAACAAATTAAAGAGTATTGATTAGATTTGTTCTTAGTTGAAAAATAAAAATAAAAACTCAATTCATCTTAGACTTGTTTTTGTTTGCATTTCTTCCTTAATAAAAGTTGTCGCTACACAACGAATCAAAGTTTATCATGTTGATCTACTTCCTCAAAAGAGATTGAAGAATATTTAATGGCACTGAGTTTCCAATTTAAAATCAAATTTGGTATTAGAGCCCGTCAATTTGTGGACAAAACACTAGAAACCACCACCTTTAATCCAGAAGTAGACGCTGCTGTCATGAATGTTCGCCACGAGTATCTGCAAATGCATGTCAACGGCCTATTCATCGATTAGCCCCAATTCCAATTTGTTCCACCACCCAATCCCCACCCCTAACAACCATACACAGCCGCACCCCCAAACTCCAGTTCCTTTTCATCGAGAGAGAAAAGATGGAATATTGGTTGAGAAGATGGATCGGGATGGTGCTAAGGTAATCTACGAGAAAGGGATGGAAAAAGAGCTATGGTGATTTTATTTCCAACAACCCGACTAATAATACCGAGGATTTGGAGTGTATAAATTATCCGGCTTGCACCGTATAAAATAGATGGGACCGCATAAAAATTCGATGTTAATTTAATACGGAACGGCACCAACAACCGAATAATATTAAATAGTACTATTCAATATCTAATACGATATTGCTAAACGAGGCCTTGAGGACCATGATTGGTAAACAAGTTTTCTGGTCAATCGGTTCATTAGAATATGCAGCCGCCCAAGCATTTAGAACCTTTTTTTTTTAAATTTCTTTTAATGCTTGGATAATTGGATTAGGGTTCTAGTTGGTATTTAAAGAAGAATAAACACTTGCCAACGATAAGAGACAAATATTAGTACTTTTAGTTATATGAAATTCCAGCCCGTGATTCGCTAACTTTGGCGTCGTTTATTATTGACAAGAAGCTAAATAGCCGTCTGAATAAATATGAAAAAGGCAAAAATAATGGAGATGCGGGGTATCGATCCCCGTACCTCTCGCATGCTAAGCGAGCGCTCTACCATCTGAGCTACATCCCCGTTTCTTGTTATTTTTCCTTTTTTAATCATTATATTTCCGTACTTAAGCTCAGCGGGGAACTGGGTTCACTACTACGTTGGACCGAGACGTCAGAATAACCATGAACTTGTTTCGTGTACGTCATTTTTTACAATAGGTATGAAAAAACTCTGTTGTATAAAAGTACGTCATCACATCACACAAGTTTATGTCACAAGTATGTCAAAATTTAACAAGTCACAAATAGTATGTTATTGGGTTTTATTTGAACTTAATCTGCATCATTATCTTTTGCATTAGCCTCATAATCCAAGGGTTTGTTGTTGATCTTGTGAATTTTGAGTTCCAAAAGTAGGTCATTAGTGAGAGAAGCCTCTATCCTTTTGGAATCTGCATCTTGTGGGAGCTCAAGCCTCCGAACATAACCATGTTCCCACCAATTCCCACTTCTCCAATCCTTTGCGCTCTTCGAGGAGTTGGACTCTCCTCCTTGCTGCTGCTGCTTCCACTGCCCACTAATTTCCACCACCTTCCCATTTTCAGCATACACCTGAATATTATTTTTCCCTTCTCCTGTTTCACCAAATCATTAGTGTTGAGTACGTTTTAAAAGCGTGAATGCAGAGTAAAATGCTTTTAACCATTTTAAATAAAAGTCATGCGCATCAAGTTATAGTCTCACTACCCTCATCAATTTAGTTTCTAGTTAAAACCACTTTGGACTCTAGGTCTTATCCCTCGCTCTTCATTTATAAAACCTATGTAATACACAAGGGTGATAATCCTCTTGGGCTAGTAAGCTAGAGCAAGTTCACCAGTTTTAGGTGCGTAAGGCAGTGGAATTGCCCTTACTATCCAATTTAAACATTAATTGTCTTTGTGCAAGTTCATCTGTTTTGGAAGAACAAGACGATTACTTTTCACAAATATATATATATATATATATATATATATATTGTCCAACACGTGTCATTATCGTCCTAAGTGTATCTAAGGAGATTAGTAGTAAAAATAAATATTGAGTTGTGATGAGAAGAATGAAGAAGATGGTTATCTATTTCTAGAATTAAATAAAAGGGTTTTTTTATTTGGATTTTTTCGCCGTTGAATTAATCATGGTCGTTGATTTTCAAAATCTTTTAAAATAAGACGCATCAGATTGTTCCACGGCAGAACCTATAATTTAAAAAACAAAATTACCGACGACAATCCAACAGTCCATATGAGAAGACTGTTGCAAAAGCAATGGTTGAGGCCAAGGCAGACTTCTTGGTTTTGTAGATGCAGTCTCCTTAGTTCATGAAATTTAAATCATAATTAGAAAATTAAGAAGTCTAATTTCCGAAAACAAATAAATTAAAAGTAGTTGAAAAACCTTACCTGGTAGCTCTACTTTAAGGACATAGTCTTGATCTGTTTGAAACCAATCAATAGTGTTTTGACCAGCGCTTCTGAGACCAGACAGAAAGATATCTGACTCAATCTCCCACAGTGGGAAGGCATCAGAAGGATCAAAAAATTTCCCAAACAACAAAGGACTGAAAAAAGATGCACCACCAAAGACCTTCTGGATTGTTGGATTTGGACTGCCCTGAGACATGAATCTTCTGAACACGTCTTCTCTCAATAAAACACACCATTTCTGCGGAGTTTTATCGTCTCTTACGACTTCAAGCTGCTTCCGAGTAGTAGAAGTAGTAGCCATTGGAGAAGATGGGAGGATCTTGGGAGAGCAACTTTTGAGTGGATGGTGGAGAGAGGTTAGCGTTGTTTGGTGTTTACAGTGAATGAGAAGCACTAAGGAGAAAGCTAGAGCACCAATTCCTTGGTGAGAATATTTGGAGGGCTGTAAAGCAATTTGGAATATTTTCTTTTTCTAGATTTTTGCTCATGGGTGTGAAGAAAATCAAGCTAATTAAATTTTCCATCAAGCTAGCTAGTATTTCACTTATCTCTAACGACACAAGGTTGGTTTTTGTTTCTTTTGTATACAAGACGAGTTATGATCCATCTCTATGACAATTTTGTAACTTTAGGTGAGTGCCGATGGTTCGAAGGGAGTTATAACGAGTATCCAACTTAAAATTAATTAATAATGTAGAGGTATGGGATTTTTCACATAAAGTATCTTTAACATATTTTTTCTTGTGTAGCATTTTCTGTGCATAACATGTGTTCAATTTATATAAATGACGTGAAAGCGTATGTGACTATGATACTTAATAAATTTATAAGTTATAAACTCTAAACCCTAAGCCCTAAATCCTAAAGCTAAACCTAAACACGAATTTGTTACATCAAATTCATACATCATGCAGTTCTCCATTCAAACTATACCTTATCTAAAGTGTATTTAAAGTTCCAATAAATGAGTACCTTTGCTTGTTAGATAGAAATATACCAATTAATTTGTACTCATAAAGGTTGTGGGAAAGGAATATTTGTAAAGTAAATGTGAATGTAAATGCATGCACCTCCTCTCATAAATAAATAAAAGCTTTTGCGGAGAGCAGCTTTTTACAAAAGCAGGATTAGTATCTGCTTGATTGATGCTGAATTTCAGAGTCCACAGGGAAACTCTGCAGCAACTTTGGATAGTGGGGCACAGCCACAAATATTGGTGCAGTTTATCATGAAAGGTGAGGACTATGCAGATGCTACAATGGTTGACCCTTTATTTTGATTCATCATCTTCATCCTGACGTAGTATGCTGGAAGCGGCTAGGATATGGCAATTATTTATTTATTTTTTTTTTTGGAAACTAATAAGGCAATTATTTCCGGTGCTGGATAATGCAATTATATATACTCACAAAAGGTAGAGAATTTTATTTTATTTAAATGGAAATTAGTTATAAATTAGCTCTATATCGAACTTCAATGATCAGAATCATCTATTTTGTAAGTATTAATTCATAGATCATCCTTGCAAAGATTCAATTCAATACAAAATCATTTGTCTATTTAATTATTACGATAAAATTTTATTGTTTCTTATAAAATAAAGTGTTCGTCAATTTCTTTAAACCCTCTCAAATATTTTCGATTTGACTAATATGAGGAATGAGGATCTTCTCCGTATCCTCTTTGTGAGGATCCCGAGAATCCTCTAATCGTGTCCATTCATCATACATCGTGCGATTATAAATCATTTTAAATTTTATACTTAAAATTGAATACAAATAGTATCTAACAAAAACTGGCCTACGATTTACGACAAACGGACACAATTAAAGTATCCGAAAAGGATCCTCACCAAAAGGATCCTCCTCATTCATATATGATGTGCAACTTGAAAAAATAGACACTTCGGCACATAAAATTCAACATTTGGATTAAAGTAATCTGTTTGTAAATTGTTTTTCTTTTTGTTATTCCTCTTGCAATTGTTCTATAAAGTGAGCGGAAATATGATAAGTGCATAGACATATCAGCACTCTTGTTAAAATCGAAGATAATAGAGGATATTGACTTAGTGCCCAATTGTGAGAGCTCCTAATGAAATTAGGGAGAGGTGTTACCGTGTAACATTTCCTCGCTGGCGATCTTACAAAACCGCTAGTAACAAAGAAGAAAAAACCAAGCTTCGAATTCAGCACTTGTCAATTAAAAACAATCCAGCTGGTCACCACGCTCTCAGCTTCATTTCCCATCATTTGTTTGCACAAATATTATATCAATCGAGTTAGGATTGGGAGACAACTATTTTTTTACATTTATTTTAAGAAATTTTAACGAAAAGCTCTTGTTACTATTTATTTTAACGAAAAATTATATTTTTATAATAAAAAGTCAATCCTAGTACTATTCATTTTACCTTTTATTTTGTTCTTATCGTTAAAACTCAAAGTTTTCAAACTATTTTCTTTAGTTTTTCTTTTATTTTAGAGGCCTCCACTTCGTAGCTTTTTTTAAGGATTCGCTTTGGTGGACTTATATCTTCTTTGGATCTCTTCATTGGGGATTACGAAGATCAATTAATAACAAATGTTCATTTAACATCGTGCAATCATAATTTTTTTTATTTATATTTTTCACACAAAATGAGGCTGTTTACTGTTGAAAATATAAAAAGAATTCAATTATGGCCGCACGATCTTTGATGAACAGTTGGTATATTGATCTCTGGAATCCCCAACGAGGAGATCCGGAGAGGATCTAATTCCTGCACTGGTTATGTTTCAGTTCATTATTTATACATCATTCTTACAAAAAATTAAATAACTCCAAAGCAATTAAGACATTTACTTTTAGTGAAAAAAAATAGACGAGTACAGTTTTGCATATAAACAGTGAAATTACTATCATTTAACTCAATGATCATAAGGTTTCAGATTTTTAATAGACTTGATCTTTAAGAGAATATCTAAAAAATAAATAATTTAAATTGTTAAAATACATATAAAGTGATCCTACAAAACATGTGTCTCCGAAACTAATCCTGTTTTTTTTTTACTAAATAATGATTTCACCTATGTATAATTTCCTGTTTTGTTTTTTCGAGGCCATTCGAGTTTGGGGCCCTGTGCGTGGAGTCCAACTGCTCACTGAGTAACACAAATCGATTATTACTCATAGTAAACGTGCCGACAAGATTTTGACCAATACGAACACGATTTTGACGAACCCAAACACGTCCATTGCTAGAGTTTAAATAGACAATGTAGGGTTGGAATTTGTGATGAAAATTTGTCCCACGTCGACCAAAAACCTGAGGAAGGACATCTTTATAAGTGAGTCTATCAAGCCGCGCATCAAGCGCAAAAACTTGCGAGGGAAATTTGTCGTACCAATCAAGCTATGCAGAGACCTGCTCGGTCTGGTCTTATTCATGAACGTATTGGGATGTTAACGCCTTTCGAGGATTTTACCGTCTCTTCCATGAGCGAACTTTGTTATGACTTTTCCTAATATATGCCATCTATCGTTTCCTTAAAAAAAAAATTAAAAAATTAAAAAATTAAAGTGAGTCCATCTCACTTATTTTAAATAAGAAATAAGAACTGAGAAGGCTGTTTACTGAAAACAGTTATAACCCTTTTGAAAGGATAAGACTGAATTCAAACAACTGTTGGTTTAAGCCATTACAAACTATGGCTCTAGTATTAGTAACATAATGATCAATTTACAATGTTATCTTCGTATTTTTTCACTGGGATACACACACCAATTCGTTGAGAATCCAAGTTTGAGTGCAGGAACTTGAATTAGAAGTAAATGTCCAAGAACTACCACACATCAATTTGCCGCCAAGAATCCAAGTCTAAGTGCAAGAACTTGGATTAGAAGTAAATGTTCAAGAACTACCACATAGTTGTAGTATCTGAAATGTAATAATCAATTTCCAATGTTCCCTTCCTATTCTTTCATTGAGAAACACACATCAATTCGCCAAGAATTCAAGTTCTAATGCAAGAACTTGGATTAGATAGTTGAATCCAAGAACTTGGATTAGACAATTGTAGCCAACAAGATAGACGTCCAAGAACTGTCACACATGTGTAGGGATGTATTTCTGCATTAGGAGATTGCTGGTGCAAGCCTCTATCTTTGGAAAACCAAGTTAGTAATTTATTGTGACTCTAGTTACAACTTATGTTTAATTTTCATATTTGTGATTAAGTTATATATAGTTCAATTTGATTTCTATGTAAAGTGTGTAATTGTTATATATATGTAATATATATATATATAATATGTATTTGGTTGGTTTTAACTTTTAACACTATTTCGTAATATTTTCAAATAGGATTATCTTGTGTGTCAAGAATTAACACCTCTAAATTGCATGTCTAACTTAGAAAAGTACTTTAATTATTTTTGGATCAATCACTTAGAGAAGTATTAGAATGAAAAAAAATAATAGTAGAAATGCTTTTACGAGTCTTTCTGACCCCTGTAAACTGCCATAACGAACGTATTTTAGTAACTAACAAGGAAAATGTCTTTTATATTTCATAAAATTAGGGGTGTAATTACTAATTAGTGGATAAGACAATGATAATGCACATCTCACATTTGTTCTGTTGCAAATATTCCAATTAGGACACAAACACATGCATGTGGTAAAAGAGTGGGAGTTTTCTACACAAAATTAAATAATAAAAAAAACATTTTTTATTTTTCTTTTTTTATTTATTTATTTAAATTTTAAAAGGAGAAGGAAAGTGACAGGAAACATAGTCGTTCGACTCGTTCCCTTGACAGCTTTGAGACGAAACGTTGTGAAGAAAAAGAAAACTTAACCTGTTCGACATCTTGCGGTCAATACCGCCAATGCATTTTATACAAATATATAACAGCTGACATACGTTCCTTAAGCTCCTCTGGGTGGATCTGGTCAGAATCGAACACGCATTTATAAGGTTTTCACACGAGGAGCCTTTGAATTTTTGCATTCCCGGCTGCCATTAGGAAGCCATTTGGAAATTTCTTCAATTTCAGGCTTTTTCTTCAAGTGAAATCAAGGTGAATATTGAATTCTTACAGCTCCATATGAGCTATTTCTGGTCTGTTTCTTTCTGGGTTTTAAAATTTATTGATTTGGTTCAATATTTTGGCAGCTTCGGGGAAGAAAAATTCTGGGTTTTCTATTGAATATCTTCCTATACTATTCAGAGTTCAAATTCTGATGAGAAGATATTTGGTGGGTAGGTGAAAATTTGCTTGCATCTGCTGGAAGTTGGGATATCATAGGTGTTCTCTTGAGGAAAATCGACTTGGGCCGGTGCCAAATCGCGGAAGTTTGAAACTTCGTGTGAGTTTTGCGTGATGAATGTGTTCTAGGGTTTTGGTTATTAGAGGTTTACGGATTAATGAAATGAGAAAGATATTAAACGTTTTCGGCAACAAATAGGTCTTATGAAGACAGGCTGTTTCATTGCTTTGGTTATTCTGCTATGTGCTTCAGCATCAACGAGCTCAGAGGAGAGCAGGACGACAGAGGAAGTTTTTCTCAGTCAACTGGTTGATCCAGCAACTGGAAAGATTGATGGGGACATGGTAACACACTATATAACTTGTTTTTTGTTTGTTTCAGCTTGATAACTTATCCTATGAGTGTGTTGTTTCTAGTTTCACATAGATTAATCCTATATATGATAAATTTGTTCATATGAGTGATTCCGTCATTCGCTTTAAATTTCTATAGAACGTCTTATGTATGGATTACTCTAGTAGGGAGCATCATTTCATATTTGGGGATCGAAAAGTAGATTTGAAAGTTACTTAAAAAGTCTAAGCTTTTGAGTACGTGGAAGTACGTTTGGAGCTTATGAAATGTTTAAGGCACAAAGCTAATTTTACTAAAATATATCTTGATTATGTTAAGCTAGTGAAGAATGTTTGGGCGTAACTTATTTCGAAACCAGAAGTAGTATTTGACATAACCAGTGTCTTGGTAATTTTAACGAACTTTTATATTTATTGCAGATAAACAAGGCCTTAACAGAAAACAACTTTTATTAAAAAGATACTTTGATGTGTTTGAGCTTCACTTTCACCAAGGCCTTCACCAATGAAATTTTTATTCTTCATTAACTCTCTAATATGCTCATTTTTTCGAAAGTTGACATTAAAACTTATGAAATTCTGTGGCCTGCAGGCACAGCTATTATGGATAAGTTGCAAGGTTGATTTGTTCCGTTTGACGGAAGCTATTGAACATCTTGACTTGTGGTTAACAGAGGAAACATATAGTGGCACAGATGAAATTATTTCAAAAACACGGTTATTGGGAAAAGAAAAGTTTCAAAATCTTATTAATGTCCTGCATCCTGAGGTGAAACGAACTCTATCAGATTGTTTAAGAAAGCATAATCTCCTATTCAGTGTCTCTGGAGAAGAGGGTGCCTCTAAGATTTGGTCTGTCAAGTATATCAAGTCCCTGTTTCCCATACCTTATGTTCCAAGAAGAAATTTGGCTGATGTACCTTCTCCAGCCCCTGCACCAAGATCTTCTCCTGGTGTAGCACCTTCCACTTCTCAAAGTCCTAGTCCTACGCCTGCACGCCGTTCTCCACAAGGATCATTTTTTCCTTCCATTCCCAGAAATTCGGGTCCTCAAGCTTCAGGGCCAGCTTCTGGCTCAAATATACAGGAACATAAAGGACAAGATGAACGTAAAAAAATTGTTACTGCTGTTGTTATAACTGCATCAGTGACATTTATTGTTGCAGCAGTGCTCTTTTTATGCTGTACTAAAATATGTAGAAATGGGAAAAAGGATAGACAAAATGATGACAGGCCCCTTCTTAGCCTGAGTCTAACTGATTCTGCTGGTATAATTCTGAAATATCTTGTTTTTGTTATCTGCAGTTGTTTGGAGCCCTTACATTTTGACATTTCTTTGAAATTTGTTTATGTTTCAGGTTCTTCATACAAGTCTTATGCTATGGGAAGTTCCATGAAAGAAGAGAAGCTTGACCATCAATCATTAGGTAATAACTCAAGTCATCTCAGGAAGGCCTAATCTTTAATAGCATTTTTGCATTGAGTCTCATGTTCTCAATGCTTCACTAAATGAAACTGCAGAATTAGGATCCCCTGGAGGTGCTTCCAAGTTTGACGTATCCAACAGTATCAATGGACTAGTACCACCTCCTCCTGGAATGTCTCTTCTGAAGCCTCCGCCTGGCAGAGCAAATCCTCTCCCACCTGAACCACCTTCTTCATTTAAGCCACCTCCCAGCAGGGCTAGTCCTCCTCCACCACCTGTCCCACCTCCCGCTTTAAACCCCCCAGGGAGTGCAGGCCCTCGGCCCCCACCTCCCCCAGCCCCTCCTGGCCCTCGGCCCCCACCGCCTCCAGCACCTCCTGGCCCTCGCCCCCCACCACCTCCAAAGAGCGGCGTTCCTCCTCCTCGGCCACCTCCAGCAATGGCTATTGGTTCAAAGGTAGCTCGACCTCCACCTCTTGCCCCAAAACATCCATCGGATGCTGGATCGGAGGTTGATGGTGATGCTCCTAAAACCAAGCTGAAGCCCTTTTTTTGGGATAAGGTTCTAGCAAACCCTGATAATTCAATGGTTTGGCATCAGATTAAGTCAGGATCATTCCAGTAAGTCGCAATTTTTTTACCTTTTTCTCTTTGTGACCCATGAGTCATTAGATATTATAAGCCTCTGAAAACAATATGCGATTCTTAAACAGATTTGATGAAAATATGATTGAAACTCTCTTTGGGTACAACGCTGCTGATAAAAACAAAAATGAACGCAAGAAAGAGTCTTCATCTCAAGATCCTATGCCACAGTTTATTCAAATTATTAATCCCAAAAAGGCACAAAATCTATCAATTCTTTTGCGGGCATTGAATGTGACCATAGAAGAAGTCTGTGATGCAATTCGTGAAGGTAACTTTTCTCCTTTCTTTCCATGGCATTAAATAATATGCAAGTATTGTCCTTTCCTCATTTTCCAGTGTGTCGAGATGAAATGTACTAGAAGGGATATATGATTTTCCTAGAGGGAAACCTGCAAATTAGCCATTTTATGAGGTTCAACTTATGTCAGTTCAAGTGGCAGATGCACTTAGGGATATTGTTACTCTGCAAATTCTTGGTGAAACATTTTCTTTGAGGAGTTACTTGTCCACTTATCTGCACAGTTTTTTATTTGAGACAAAATTTCTTCTTTTCGTAGAAGAATAATTTGTACAGAAAACTAAAACAAAAGATGATAATGAACCTAGTGTTTGTGGAGGGGCAAGTGCGTTTTTTATTTTTCTGGATAGGGTGGTTACAATGATATAGGAGAAGTTTTGAAGATTAAGGGAAGTGAAGGGCTTGTGGAAAAATGTTTGTTGTTAGGATTTGATATGTTTTGATTTCTTGATATACCTTTCTTCCACATTTACGCAGCTTGGAAGGCAGCAATCTTTAATGTAGGTGTGATTAATTGTTTTGCTGTTGTATTATCTTCAAAATTTTATGGTGGATTTTAGCAGCCGGTAGACTAGAGATTCTGCACATCTTGATGTGTAGATAGTTTGGTCACTCTGCTTCTTATTGTTAAGCTTTTTATAACCATTTCTCCCTGAACTGTTTCCCTGCAATCAAATTGGTCACAGAAATGCATCAATATTCCTTCCAAACTCGGGGGTTATGCATCAATGTACCCCATGACGTCTGATCATTAGTTTTTCTGTTAAAAATTGTCGTGCAGCAAGCACATGATGTAATTTCAGGGGTAGAAATAGAATGATAGACCCTCAATTGAAGATTTACAAAAGAACTATCTGCCTCTTTTTCACCCTCCTCTGTATCACCCTTTCTCGCCTCTTGCTCCTCCCCCTCACACACAGTCAATGTACTCTAACGTGCTAAACAAACATTACAAAACAACCTATTTGAACTAATTAACCAGGTAATCAAATACTGTAGACTAAGAATAACATAAACTACCCAAAATGCTTACCTGCTATAGGACTTCAAATTATTGTTTTTGAAAACCATAAGTGAAAATGCCCTCAATATTTGGTAATAGAATAACATATAAAGAATTCTTACTAAAGACTGTTTCTATAATGACCCATTAACATGCGTTTACTTTTCTTAATTGGATCAGGGAATGAGCTTCCCTCAGAATTCTTACAAACTCTGTTGAAGATGGCACCAACACAAGAAGAAGAACTAAAGCTTAGAATGTTCAATGGTCCACTTTCTCAACTTGGGCCTGCTGAGCGGTTCCTAAAAGCGTTGATTGACATCCCATTTGCTTTTAAGCGATTGGAAGCACTACTTTTTATGTGCACTCTTCAGGAGGAGGCCACCCACCTTAAAGAGTCTTTCGCGACCTTGGAGGTACTGTATATCTGAATTGCATCACTTATATGATTTTGTGTGTCATAGCTCACCTACCCATGCTTTAGTTTTCTTACATTAACTTCTATTGTTCAGAAAGTGTTAAAAAGAAAGAACTAATATAGCTACCTAAACTATGTTTATACAACCATAATAAACATAGAACACAGTGCAGATCTATGTTAAGCTAGCATCCTATGTTCTCTACCCTACACAAAGACATATTGTTCCCCTAGTTTGCAAACCTGAACCAATAAAGAGCCAAATGCCAATGGCAAAAGAAAAATGTACAGTTGAAATAGCATGAAAAAGTCTGATGTAACCAGGAGACAAATGATGCCATGATTGCAAATTACGCACGGGATTGGTTGCTACCATGCACATATGTTAAGAACTTAGTAGTGGCAGACCTATGGTTGCTTTTATTTCTGGTGGGGTTTGGACCCCAACTCTTGCGTATTACTTCATCTAGAAGCCTTCAATTATACATTTACCATGACTGCTCTTTCTCCTTAATGAGATTGCTGAAGAGATTGGAAAATGTTGGCAGATATTTTGTACATTATGCTTATGGTTTTCAAAGTTCACGTCACTTCTGTGATGACTAGTTTATTCAGAATTCAATTTTATATTGCTAATGATATTCACATGTTGAAGCAGAGGACAATAGCATATCAAAACTATGTGTTAGATAGCTTTTTTAAGGCGAAACGATAGCATATCTATTAGATAGCTTCATCTTAGTCATGTCAGCAAAGCTGAATGCTCAAATGGCCCAGACTATACTGTCCTTGGGAGTTGGACATTAGATATGTGATCTATCTGCATCTAGAGGAGATTCCTGAAGATAATCTGGCATGAGGATTTGTACAAATGTACTTGTACGACATTTATAAAAATGTCTATCAGTTCCTATTAAAATGGGGCACAGTTTTTTGTTGTTGTAACCTATCATTTTTTGTTTCCCTACCAGTATTTTTCGGTCCATATATTGAAACATTGCACTAAAAATATCTAAATTATATGGCACCTCATTTCTACGGCAGGTTGCTTGTAAGGAACTAAGAAGCAGTCGGCTTTTCCTCAAGCTTTTGGAAGCTGTTCTTAAAACTGGCAATCGCATGAATGACGGAACATTTCGTGGTGGAGCACAAGCTTTCAAACTTGACACACTCTTGAAATTGTTAGATGTAAAAGGAATAGATGGCAAGACAACGCTTTTGCACTTTGTTGTTCAGGAAATAATCCGCTCTGAGGGTGTCAGAGCTGCTCGTACAGCAAAAGAGAGCAGGAGTTTCTCTAGCATCAAAACAGATGATCTCCTTGAGGACACTTCCAATGAAACAGAAGAACATTATCGCAGTCTCGGTCTTGAGAAAGTTTCAGGTTTAAGCAATGAACTTGAGAATGTCAGAAAAGCATCTGTTTTAGATGCTGAAAGCTTAACAGGAACTGTTGCCAAACTTGGTCATGCACTGATAAAAACCCGGGACTTCCTGAACACGAACATGAAAGATTCAGGGGAAGATAGTGAATTCCATGAAACACTGAAGAGTTTCGTGCAGAATGCTGAGGTTGATATCGTGGGTCTTGTTGAAGAAGAAAAGAGAATCATGGCTCTGGTGAAGAGCACTGGTGACTACTTCCATGGGAATTCAGGGAAAGATGAGGGCTTACGATTGTTTGTTATTGTGCGAGATTTTTTAATAATCGTAGATAAGGTTTGCAGAGAGGTAAAATTGGCACCAAAAAAGTCAACAAAAGTTCAGAAAAAGGAGACACCTTCCTCTGATCCCCACCAGCCTTCTACAACACCATCTGCCTCTGATCTTCGGCTGCCTCCTCCGCCTGATCTCCATAAGCGGCTTTTCCCGGCAATCCAAGATCGACGAATGGATAACTCTAGCTCAGATGATGAAAGTTAATTGATTTTACTTGGAGAAGGTATGTTCTAACCTAGTTGAAGAAAGATAATCTCTCGTATATTTTATAGAAGTTCAATCCATGTGTGTGCGTGCGTAATTTAATTAGAAAAAAAGCAAGTCAAGGATATTTATCTTGAGTACCAAATAAGAAATTATTTTCTTGGCGTGTACTCAGGTGAACATCACTGTAGAATCTCAACAACGACACGCCCTTTTGGTTTGTCTGAAGATGTTATCCGTAGGCAGTGATCACATAAGGATTCGTGAAAAGGGAGATAAGAGTTGAGCCTGTGGCATATACCCTTCTCTTCAAGGTGGAATTTCACTGGATTGAATCTATGCTCACTTTCGAAGGTACCTCCGGTGATGTTTAACCCCAACTTATGGCTGGCCGTGTACATCAATGACTAACCACTGATAAGGCAGACGACAGGACTACACCAGTACTATACCGAACTGGCTGAACTGTGGCTGCTCATCCTCCTTTCAAAAGGCTAACAATTTCTTGATTGACCAGCTATTGGACCTAACATCGCATTAGTAGAGTGACCTTCCTTGTAATTTGGTGTCCTGTGGAGAATGAACTTATGACAAAACAATGTTATTGCCCTTAGACAGCCGGACGTCCGCAGCAGCGATTTAGACTCGGTGATTTTTTTTTTCCTATTTCTTTGTTCTTCTCACCTATGATTATTTGTTTATTACTTTTGTTCATAATTTTGACCTTTTGGGAGTGAAAAAGGTGTAGCAAGGTAGTTTTGTGTTCAATAGAATTGTTTTTACTTTTTTTTTTTTCTCTAAATACAATTGTTTTAACTTGCTGCCGGGAGTTTCTTGTTTCGTATTGAACAAAGAACAATGTTACGGGCATGAGAGGCTTCTGTGGCGATAAAGAAGTTAAAAGAAAGTGCTGCTGGGCTCTTCTCATTTTTTTTTATTTTTCTCATTCTCATTTAAAAAAAAAAGAGACAATTGTAGCAATGGTGTTTTTAATTTTGATTTAATTGGAGTAATAGTCCATCAATAAAAAATTCATGATCATTTTCGTCAACTCCATCAGAATTTCGTCAAAAAACTCATGTTGGAATGACCATTGTTACAATTAGGTTAAAGTTGAGGAACCATTGCTCCAATTGGGTTAAAGTTGAGAGACCATTTCTCTCATTAGGTTAAAGTTAAGGGATCATTGCTATAATTTTTTTTTATTTGATTTTCTATATTTGTCCCTTGATCAGCCTCATATACACATGTGACTCATTTTGGCTGATGTAACGAAGTTGAAGAAAATGATCATAACTACATGTTTTGAAGAGTTAAGGGACGAATGATCATGAATTTTTAATTGAGTGACCATTATTCCAGTTGAGTTAATGTTGATGGACCATTACTGCAATTTTCTTTTAAAAAATTAAAAAAAAAAAAACATCCCCGCTATTTTGTCACCCACTTTGTCTCAAAAATACCCTCAAACATGACAGTGTTATCCAGTGACCCCAACCTGACCTCTCTGAATTCCAGAATCCGGTCCGATTACCTCTTCCCTGCCCCCTTCTCCAGACCCCAAAAGAAAAGCATTCCCATTCCTCCCCCCTTTTTCCAATTCTTTGCTGCCTTCCTTTCCTGGATCCCACATCGAAATCAGCTCCTCCTCCATTTCGTTTTTCAATTTAAAGAAAAATAATAATAATAATTTCACTATTACAAAAGTTTTAAATGATTATATATAAGGAAAAATAATGAAAAATGTTTGAAAATTTTAGATTTTAACGATAAGGACAAAATAAATTGTAAAGTGGATAGTAACAGGATTGATTTTTTAGTATAAAAATGTGGTTTTTCGTTAAAGTGAACAGTACCAAAAGTTTTTCATTAAAGTTCCTTATATAAATGAATAAACTAGAAGAATTAAATGAACAGAAAATGAAGAAAAGATTAATCTAGGAGGGTAAATTTGTTACTAAATATTTTATTAAAATGTGGGCGAATAATAAAAAACATATTGAGTGAAAAGTGAAACCTCAATTTTGTCCATTACTATTGAGAGGAAATAAATAAATAAATAACAAAAAAAAACACATCTGAACACACACCCAACAGCCGTAGGCGCCAACCCCCCCTCCCCCCCCCCCTAAGAACCACCGCTTACTCCTTAGTTGTAATCACTAATTCTTAAACCCTAGGGTTTTAGTCTGCGTGTTCCAAAATCCAGTTCTCCATTTATGGCGCGTTTACGAAACATGAATGAGGAAAGTGGAATCAGAATTGCATTCCTTCAAATGCATTCATGTTGTACATAGGGAATGAAAAAAAAGATGGGGTCCACCCAAAATGGGGAATTCAATTCTGGATTTGTTCAAAATCCGATTACCAAGATATAGGTGGTAATTGAATTTCGGAAGAAAGGGTCCATCAGTAATCAAACTTTTCTTCCTAAAGTGCCCTTGTACTTCTTTTTATATCCCAATACACCTTTGCGGCTCCAACACTCTTGCTCCTTTCTCAGTGGACTCCTTGCAACTTCTTCTCCAATTTCTCTTCGTTCTGCGACTTGGGACTGGAGCTTTCAAAGTCCATCTTCCTCCTTGCCTTCAGTCATCTGTTGTTTATCCCAAACCCGATTCATGTCCCTATTCTTATATATTCTCATTTCGATTCTTCGATCTGCCGAGTCCATGGTTAAAAACTCATTCACTGCCTCAACTAGGAAACTCAAAATTGGGGTAAAAAAATTAAGGTTGGGACATGGAGGGAGGGAGCATGAAAGGTTCTTTGCAAACGTGGGATGGGTTGGTAGCAGAGAAAGATATCTTAGAAAGGGGTAGGTCGGCAGTACGTCAGCAACAGAGAACGATGGGGAAATTTTAGAAAATGGGTAGGTCGGGAAAGACGGGGAAGAGAGGGAGAGACGGGGGATCACAAAAAAAATTAGAAAAATGAAAGAATGAGAAGAAGAGTTTCTGGAAAATTGAAGTTGCAGAGTTTCTAAAAGGTTTTTGAAAGCGTGAATGAGAAGAAGAAATACTAAAAAATAAAAAAAATGAAAGATAAAAATTTTAAAATAATTAGCATAGAAAATAGATTAGTTAAACTAGGGGAATTTTAGCAATCACATCAGTTTTCATTCCGGTTCAAGTGAATTAGTAGTTTATATAGATCAATATCATTCTTACTCCGATTCTAGATAGTTTTAGTAAATAACTTCAACAATAATCTGATTCTGATTCCATCTGATTTCAATTTCTCTGAATCTGATTACGGATTAATAAACGTGCCCTTAGGGTTTTGATTCCATTCGGTGAGACGAGAATCCTCTCTTGAGCTAAGGATGAGGATCCTCCTGATCATGAAATCCGGACCGTTCAACGGCTCTAAATAGAGGGTCCTCTAAAAAGTTATAATAATTGCAATCGTTGAATTAAAATTGAACGGCTCGAATTTCGTGATCAGGAGGATTCATCCTATGCTCCGAGAGGATCCTCTTCCCCATTCGGTGGAACAGTAAGGAGAGCTTTGGAATTCCATTCCGCTGCTCAGGAATCCCAACTTTTCATCGTCAAAGGTTTTGCTCGCTTTTAATTTTTATTAATGTTATTCATCTTTCCAATTGTTCAACTTTCACTTGCTAATTGCTACTCAGATTTTAGGGTTTCAATTCAATTATTGTAGGATTAGACGTGTAAAGATTTGAGCTTTTGGAACTTACCCAAGAATTAATTTCCCTAATTGTTCGACATTGTGATTTATCAAATTTGTTCGAGATGGTTATGTATATTTGGTGTATCTGCAATTCCGCAGCTTAAAAAAAAAAAAAAATCAGTTTTTGTGATACCTTCGCAGTTAATTTGTGGTGGTTGCTTTGAATTATTCAGCATGTCGTCCTTAAGGAATGCTGTTAGCCGACGGGCTCACAAGGAACGAGCTCAACCGAGAGTGACCACATTCCGTTCGCTGGTAGACTTTCGCATAATGTTGTTTTGCATCAGATGATGGGATTAATGTTTTTGTGTTTTGGGTCCAAATTTTTTATAGGGAATCGATGAAAAAATTTGGGCTTCTTGAAAGCGTGCGGAGGAGACTTTACGGGTAAATTTATGATGGCTATGTTGCTCGTCTCCTTGGATTTCATCATCTACTAATAGCCTGGTAGTTTAACTTCCGGATATGGTATACGTCTCTCATCTGTCTTTTCAACAGAGACTCAAGGAGAAACCCTTCTTCAGAAACCCAGATGAGTTCAACTTCAAGATGGCCAAGACACGAACTGTTGATGGAGTCCATAAATTAGAGTAATTTAAAACTCTACTTTACTCTTCTATATCGTTTTCCTTTTTCACACTTGCTACTCAAATGGTATAGCTCACTACAGGAGTTGGGCAAACAAGTACACTCCAGAAGAGCTCCTGCTTATGAAGACCCAAGATATTGGATACATATTTCAGAAAGTGCAGAGTGAGAAAAAGGTTATAAATACGTATATCATGAAGCTATGGTTTACCGATTGGTTTTTGAAATTAACATGTTGGTTATAATTGTGTAGTTAATTAATTTAGAAAACTGAAAAGTTAACTGCAATGCTGCACTCTCTTGATAATCGGCCTTCAAGTAGACATGTTTACTTTACTGAAGACAGGTTTGAGCTTCCTTCAAATCTTCTGTCCTCGGAGAATTTTAATTCTGTATTAGTGGATTTTTTTTTATTTTTTAACTTTTCGTTGCTGTTATTTGTATTCAGACTTCGATCTGGTGAAAGATGATTTTCACCATTTTTCAGTTCTTTGTTATCCCTTATTATCCCCAGAGGTTGCGTGTTTCCATTGTTCTAATTGATTTTGTTATGTATATTTTCTTATATTCATTGAGTTTGTTTTGTCATCAGTAGGCACAAGTATCTGGAGTGATCTGTTAACCCCTTTTTCCAAGCAAACACACAACACACAACACAAACATATATCTGGTGTACATGAACCCCAACGTTCATATGCACGCATACACTACACACATTGAAAAGGAACTGTAACAAATGGGAAGATGTATACATAAAACTTGTGTGTTTCTCCTGATCCTGTTTTGGACTTATATGAAATGCTTTTCATCCTGTTTACTTGAGTATATTTACAAAAAAAATTATGGCCCCGAAAAAGGGGACATAGAAATACCATGATACAAGTGACTACAAGTGTGTTATTACAAATCTGCAAACTGCTTCCTTTCAGGCCCATGTACTTATAGTAATTCTGATTCTGTTGAAAGTAGATCCTCATGGCTTCGACTGGGGACACTAGGCTAATTTCTTAGTGTTGTTAATTGTTTCTTGGGAAGACATTATTATTCAATTCTTCAAATGGGGGTATGATCTATAATGTTATTAAATTCATGTGAGACCACTCCGTGTGAAAGAGTAGGGAAGAAAAGTAGTTTCTTAACTTCTCATCATTTATGTTCCCATTTGCCAAATATTTTATCTTGTTTTGCACATTTTTAGAAATAAGTTTTATCGTGTTAATTATTTTTTTGGCAGGAAGGAAGCTAGAGAAATTCAATCACGTCCAAAAAGTGGAAAAATGCCGGTTTCTGAGGACATTCCTGATCATATAAAAAGGTACAAACAAAAGTTTCAGTGATAGGGGACATACTGAGGAGTTGGGTTTATACTGGAAGTTTTATTTAATTTTTTTTATTTTCATCAATATCAGTATCAATTATGCATTTCTATGCATCGCATTATCGTAGAAACAAATTCCCATCGATTTTGCTCATAAGATCTTCGCATGTTTTGCTATCTAAGAATAATTGTGCTGTGATTGGTTTGCACTTTTGCATAGTTGCATTCTAAAAGCAATAAGATTGCTTTGTGATACAAATCCATCAACCATGAAGTGAATAGGACTGGATTGTTTCGTAATAGAGGAAAGGTTTTAAGCAAAACTAGTCTCACAAGACCAAAGGCTGCGATTTGGCTTTTATACTGTAATGTGATTGTGATTTGTGAATATGTCAACTGACCTAAAAGAGCATAAACAAATCTTAATGGTTACAAGTATATGGCATAAAAAAATTCACAATAAATAAAAAATTATCTTGTAAAAGTTGTTCTGTATGCTAAATTATTAACCTGTTTGATAAAACAGCTCTTTGCTGCCATGCGAACCAATGCTTGCATCTTCCTTCTTGTCTCTATTGTCAGCAAGGATTCTTGTAGCCCGATATTGTTGTTTTGTTTGTCTTATATTGTTGTATTCAATGTGCAGGAAAACAGCTGGTTCCTACAGAGAGCTTGAAGGAAGGAGGAAGAGAGTCAATGAGTTGGAGAAAATTTATATGGACATGGCAATGCAGAAGGAATTACAGGTAGTGACATCTACATTTGTTTGGTTAGTTCTGGGTTTTTTGTTGTCCATGGAAAGTTTTGAAAACAATTCCATCTGAATTAACAGAAAAGGGGTAAAAACCGCAAAGTATGTGAAGATGAGATTGTCTCCCCAACATCCAACGCTGTATGCAAGTGGCGGGCAGAGCGGAAGCGTTAAAAGGTATGTGTTGATCTATTATTAATTTATTAGCCTTGTTTATCAGTTAAAACATTGTGTACTCCTCTGTGCAATGGAAATCACGCACTTAACTCGACATGTTTCTGTGATTTTGCAAGGAATGAGGCTGCTATAGATACCTAGGACCCCGGAAAAAAGTCTGGACCTGACGTACCATGACTTTCCATGTAACGGAAGTTTTGATCTGCATATGAACATGTCACAAGTGATATAGTCAGATATATATTTGCTTGCTTTTAGGGAAGAAGCAACTGCGTTTTTTTTTTGTCTCTGGTAGTCTGACCCTAGCGGGATTTATAACAAACTGACATTCTTGTCGTTTATTAATATCATCAGTATTAAGCTCTTTAATGTGTGCAACTTGGTAGACAACTCTGGTTTTACTTTTTGTTAGGTTATGTGGTGGTGCAATTCGACTGCCCCATCTCCGACCAAATACTTTTCAAGAGTATATATGTGATGTGTGTAAGGTCTGGTTTGGTATTGCTGTGTTTTGAAAAAAAAACTGATTTTGATGTGTTGTGAGAATAAGCTCGTTTTTGCTGTTTCACGTTTGAAGCTATTTTTCACCAAAAACTGTGAAAATAAGTTGTTTTTAAGTGTTTACCAAACATTTTTTTTAGTTCAGTTTTTTTTTATACCCGTTTTTTATAAAAGCATCTCAGTACCAAACTAGTACTACACAAACAAGGATGCAACAATTTGGAGGAAGAAAAGAGAAATATATTGTTTGCTAAAAAGCAATAATATTCATCCGATACGATTTAGAAGAGAGATTAATTTGTCGGAAAGATTAATGGGGACGAAAAAGTCGCCGGCAGCAGCTAAGAAGCGACCGATGGAGAAGCAGCCCAAAACTGTTTTCTGTTGCCCCTTCTGCTACCAAGGCAGCTGCGTTGAGTGCTCCATTGACATGAACAACTCAATTGGTGTGGTGGTTCTGTTCCGTTTGCCTTGCAAGTTACGACACCACCACCACATCGTTGACTAAACCCATCGACGTTTACAAGGAGTGCCTTGACAAATACGGGCGCACTCTTGATCAATGATATTGCTCATTGCTCACTGCTTGATGCTCTTAGCCTCAGGAAGCTGATCAATAGAATTCTTCATGTCCAAGTCTTTCTCCTTCTTGACTTGTAATTTCTGACTTTCAATAGTTTGTTTATGGATACATTAGGGTTTATATTTGGAATAATCCATCTTAGAATTCTTCATCTTCTCCTTTTTGTTTAATTTCTCGTTCATGTTGCATGCTCGTCATGCACGTTCATAAAACGGTCAACCTGAACACGACCCATTATAAATGAGTGAGAAGCCTCTTGACACGCGCTCACAAAACACAAATTGCCATCTGTGTCCATCGCCATAACTTTTTAAAAATATGTTTTTAACGGTTTCACCATCATGGAAAGTGCAACCAATTTCCGGTAAACAAATTTCAGTTTCATAATTGCTAGCAAATATTTGACTATTAGATTTGATTCAACGGTCTTCAATCACTCAATTCAATTCAAACTGGTAAATCAAATTCAACGGCCAAATGTGCCACCAAGTGCTTGTAAGCGTTAACAAAAATGGTGTGAACAGAAGAGTGAAAGTTGTGAAACCATACAGCACAAGAACCATATGATTTAAAGCACTGTCATTAAGTATGTAAACCCACAAAGAACACATCCAAAAAGAAAGAAGCAAAAGAAGTTCCCACAATATCATCTATCTGTTAAGGAGCTAGAAGAAGACAATTATATACACAAACATTAGTAACCTACAACCCTAACTTTAAAACCTGACACGATTTCCAGACACAAGAGAACCAATTACCTAATTTAACCTACCGGACAGCTAAATCTGAGATGGAACACATTAATCCCGCAACAATTGTCATTTCAGTCATCATCACCACCGACGTTCTTGGATGAGGCACCGGTCTTCTTTGGGAGCAGAAGGTTGTGAATGTTGGGCATCACACCACCATTTGCAATTGTCACATCACCAAGAAGCTTGCTGAGCTCCTCGTCATTGCGCACAGCGAGCTGAATGTGACGAGGTACAATGCGAGTCTTCTTGTTGTCTCTTGCAGCATTACCAGCCAATTCCAGAACCTGTAAAATTGACCAAATTAAAACAACATTAGAATCAAAACCCTAATTTGAAAAAAGAAAATCAACTCAGTACCATAACTTCAGCAAAGAAAAGATCACAATTTTGAAAGTCAGACAAACACTAACTTAATTAACAACTAAATTGGAAGGGAGAGCACATTGAGGGAACAAATTCTAATTCAAATCCCCACGATAATCCACCAATCTATTTAGATCACAGTAATCCAATAACCGTATCCTCACGAAAAATTAATAAAATAAATAACCAACAAAAAGAACCCCAATTTTTTAAAATTGAACAATGCCTCAACAATATCGACCCCCGGATCATAATTCAAAGATTAACAGATGACAATTCGATTAACTTAAGCTCAAAGCCCCCTACTTTCATACGCAAAATGAAATAAAACCAAATTAATTCAGCCACCAATAAAATAAATTAATAAAATTATTATGAAAAATATATTAATTAATTCAAGAAAAGAAAAAACACGGATCCAGGATCCTAACATTGGTTCATCAGAAGCAGATGAAGAACAAATCATCAAAATTTCACATTTTCTCATGTTCTATATGTAATTCCTGCACAGAAAAGCTAAATCGAAACAAAATATTTCCCAATTTGAAACCCTAACCCTAGATTCACAAAAAGGGAAGAAGAAACACACACGCAGATGCAAATAAAGAGGAATAACAAGATCGAGAAAGAGAGGTTATACCTCAGCGGCAAGGTATTCAAGGACAGCGGCGAGGTAGACCGGAGCTCCGGCACCGACACGTTCGGCGTACTTTCCTGCTTTCAGGAAACGAGCAATACGACCGACAGGGAATTGCAAACCGGCCTTGCTGGACCGCGATGTGGCCTTCTTAGCGGCTCCGGATCCCAAAGCTTTGCCACGACCCGCCATTGATGGACCTCCAAGAACAATTTGAGAGAGAGAGAGAGAGAGAGAGAGAGAGAGAGGAGAGGACAAATAGAAGAGACGCGATCGAGAGAAACAGAGAGTTTGGTGGTACGGAGGAGGACTGCGACGGGATTCAGGTATTTATAGGGGTTGGGATTTGAATATGGGCCAATAGGTTGAAGTTTGCGGATCGAGAACGAAAGCCGTCGATTAGATAGCTATTGCACGGAGGGGATTCGTTGAGTGAGAGGTTTCAAACATTCTGTTCTGGTCACATTTGTTGAAGTGACGAAACTAGCCTTGTCTTCAACAATATAAAGGAAAGAGCCAATTCTCATAATTGTTTAATACCTAGAGTGTTCTTTTGAACAATTAATTGACCTTGAACAATTCACTAGCATATTGTGCCCATAAAGGATTGTCAATTTAAAATGTACAAAATTTCGTTATGCTCAGTATTTGTAGTTCCACGAGCATATGCTATTATGCTCTATCACGAATCAACTACTTATAATTACAGTCCCACCACGGGACCCAAAGACCCAAAATCTTAGTTTTGATTTATTTAAGTAATATCCAATATTGCCACTTAATACTACCGTTTTGTAGTATTTATCTTCACTTGTAAGTGAGAGGTCTTCCCTTGTAAGTGAGAGGTCTTAGGTTCAATTCTCGTCAAAGACGAATTTGAACCACATTATTGATGGCCCATTGTGAGGCTAAACCCACCCCCTCACCCTTAATGTAGATAATATCGTTTGTTAAAAAAAAAAAAGAACTAATATCCAATATTAACATAATTAAAGGTTTAGATGGTTCAAAGCCCACTACTGTGTAATTATGAAATGGACACTCTCACTACCGTATAACGCGAGTTAGATTTAATACGTGTTATGGTACTAGCTTTATGAATTGGTCGTTAGGTAAATACTAATGAGCCCTAAAACTCGATTTTCGAAAGTTTTTTATACTAGCATTCATGTTTACTTAAAAAGTTGATAAAAATGTGTTATTGTTGTCAATTTTTTTTTGGTTATGTCCAGACTTGTACGCCACACTTAGTAATAGATATTTTTTGTTATTTATTTTAGGTGATTTGTGTAATTTTAGCAATTTATTCATCTCATGAAATTAAAATGTAGACTATTCAGGTCTCCTTCCAATTCCTACCTCAACAGAAGCTAATGTGAGGTATTTATGGAGATATAATTTAACCACATCTAGTACGAATAGACCACGCATACTAGAATCTCAAGATGACGGTTTTATTTTTGAACTCGTGAGCAAACGATCTTCTCCACCTCGATGGGTCTAGCATAAATGTCCATCATGATGTATTTCCAACACATGAGTCTCTTTCTCACCTCTCTGCCAATTGGGCTCAAGCAAGTTGGGCATAGATCTTCGGAGGTCCCTTGGGTGTTTCCTCTGCTATAGCAGGCCAATTGCCAATGGGGAGAGTGAATGTGGAGTACAAGGGGTGGTACACCCCTAATAAGGCAAAAAACTCAAAAGGGATGACTAGGTACACCACATGTGACTGGGTACACCTCTTGTCGATATGACTGGGTAGCCCTTCATCAGTTTTAGTTTGCTTGGGCTCGTCATATTTGTGTTAAGATATTTAGTTGTTTGTTTTTCAATAAATTCCTATTTGTTAAGAAGCCTGTTGCTTTTACCTATTCCTTAGGAGAATCCCAGATTATTAGGAGTTGTTAGTCGTGGGATTAAATGTTGCTTTATTTTCTAGCTTTCAGTTATTTGCATTTGTACTTAATTAGACTTCAAGTCAATGAATCGGTATCGCATTCCCTTTCACTCATTCTGCAGCAAACTCAATTTTTAGTTTTACAACAATTGGTATCAGAACTCCCTACTGAGGTCAGATTTGAAAAAGCAGCGGCTTTCATTCTTGCCGCAGCAAGATATTCAATGGCTTTTGAAAACAACTTTGTGCAACCTGTGATTCCACGCTTTCATGGTCACTATGATCATTTGAGTATGTTGATGGAAAATTTTCTGCGATCCAAGGAGTACTGGACTCTCGTGGAAACCGGCATCGCTGAGCCTGCTAGTGAGACTGTTTTGACAAAAGCATAAAGAAAGACGTTGGAGGATTAGAGATTGAAGGATTTGAAGACAAAGAATTATTTGTTTCAAGCAACAGATCGTGCCATTCTTGAAACCATCCTCAAGAAGGACAATACTAAAGACATCCAGGATTCGATGAAGAAGAAGTACCAAGGCACTGCACGGGTGAAACGTGCACAACTCCAAGCTATTCGCAAAGAGTTTGAAATTCTTCACATGAAGGAAGGAGAGTTAGTTAATGATTT